TTGGAACTGTCTTCAAAAAGTCCAATTACAGTACGACCTGCAGCCTTTCCATCAATCTCGACATCAAAGAAAACCTTCTAAATCACTTCCTTCAAATCTTCCTTCGGTTTCTTTGCTTGGATAAGAGATAGAGTAGCAAAGAGACAAAGTGCACAGAGAAGCGACAACGTCGTTTTTGCCATCGGTTGGTTGATTTGTTACATGATCTCACTCTTCGGTGCTAGACTGACTCGGTGAGTGCGTAGCTCTGAATATTCTTGAGGTGGCTCAGATGTTTGGCTTGTATTAACTCTTCTTATTTTCTTTTTATATGCAGTAAACTGGTTTGGACGGGGTCATCTTTACCCTCAATACATGTTGATAAAAGTAAGATAACCAACGTCTTTTCGTCATCCACGTGTAATTAATTCAGTGTTTGTTCTTTGTGCAGGGATGAGCTTGTGACTTGCTTTAGTGATCTATTTGCAGCAGCTGCTAACGTTGATTCTGCTGCAGGTTGGATGGTGGTACTTGCTAGTAAGTTGTGGCTGAAGCTCAAATTAAACGGTTCAATGGAGACAGTTGGGACCAACACACAAATCAGCCATGTCGCCTGTTCTTAAAATGTCCTGCATTAGTTTTGTACTTAGGCGTTACTTTAGTTGTAGCTATTGTCATTGCGATTTCGTCTTGTATGAAGCCAAATACCTGTTGTAAACAACCGTTTATGAATGTACCAAGGATTGTAACATTAAACAGTTGTATTGAATTTACTGTCGTAATTTCTTGAGATGAAATCCAATATCCTTATGTTTCCTTTTCAAATGATATGGCATCCTTTTTATAATAAGTGTATGACATACCCTTATTAATTCTCTTGCCTCAACAAAACCGTTGTCCACCCAACATCCTCTACCTTATATTGGATACTTCCCCGGAGTACGATATGCCAAGCCTCATGCTTATAATAACACAGCGAATAAAGTCGTGAACCTTTAGATAGATTTCGAATTGCATACCCTTTGAAGGATTATATGAAATGAAGTTCGGAACGAGCTTGGATTTGTAAGGGCCTAAGCCTTGAAATTATGGCGAACTTTCAATTATGGTACTTGGGAAAATGACCTTTGGACTTAGCATCAAACCTTGTAAATCTTGAATAAATATCCAACTTGTGAGAGTACTTAGGAACCGACTTGAATTTAATAACCCCACAATGATTGAATTGAAATTGAGGAGTCCTTACAATCAGACATTTTAGTTTTAACAACTTTACCATCCGAAATGAACCAAATAAATTCGAGAAGCCACAAGTCAAGCTTGAATACCACGAAGGGACACCACCAACCAAATGACACCACCTGGTCCACCTGAAACTAATCTTGATTTGAGGAGATAAAGTCTGGTAGTCTATCTAGGACGTCTTTCAAGAATGACCCAAGAGGAGGGAGACCTTGAAAATACTTTGAATGGGAGAATGAGCAAACTATGCTCGAAATTATTGCACCTGCATAGCCTGATTAGTCGCACATAAAAGTGACAAGATAAAACGTAAGAAAACGTATAGGGAAGGTGGAATCTTAAGGTCAAAAATTAGGGTGCGACAGAGGCTACTGCCCCACACTTTTTTCCTCCCTCACTTTCATTCTAATTGTGCATTACATGTTTGCATAATTGGATCTTTCTTATTTCATGCTTCCTTCTTCTTCTTCTTCTTTCTTCTTTGCCATGTTCCCTTAGGACCTATAATCTTCCTTGTTCAAGGTTGATTATGATAGACCTTAGGTTTGAATCCATGCATGATAAACATTAGGTAGCATTCCCTTTCATCCCAATCATAGGTACACTTTATATGAGAACATTAGGTTGAGTCTTAGTCTCCCTTTAGAGTGTCTCTCTCTTCTCATCTTCAAACATCTTCAAAACACTTAATAAAGGTTAAGGATTGTTGTACGTTACAAGCCTTAAGTACTTGGAAAATGGTGATTGGGGGGCTTCCTCTCAATTGCTTAGAGTGTTTAGTGTACGTCCTTAGGACGATATGCAACGCATTCGCTCCTAAGTCATAGTCTTTAGTGCAACATGAATTACAAACAATAATCAATGCACTTCTTCTCTAAAAAACAAAAAAAAAAACTTCAAATCTTTTTATCCTTCGAGATCCTAATTTGGAAAACCTTTTTCATAAGGAGAGTTTTGTTAACTCTTGGTTCTACCGCAAACAGGTAACGCCTAAGTCTCCAATGGTCGAGCTGCATACACCTAACATCTAGAACTAAGTTTTAACCCTACTCGGGCCTAAAACATTTTGAACCAACCTGTGGTCTTGTTAGCCCGAACTACGTTTGCTCTGATTTCTCGTACTAGATGAGAATACGTAGGCACGAGACGGCGATGTCTCGGCGAGCAACCTTCCCCCACTTTCACCCGTAGTTAGCCCAACTACGTTGACTCTGACTTTCCCATTGCACGAGGGAATAGTAGGCATAGAGTGGCGATGCTCTATCGAGTCTCTTTTCTTTTCTTTTGTTCCTGTGAGCCATAGCTTAGATAGTAAACACCCTTCTTAGATAGACAACAAAGCGTGGATCCCGTCGAGTATGACAGACGTGAGGGGTGTTAATACCTTCCCCTTGCGTAACCGACTCCCGAACCTGAGACATGGTTGCGATGACCTGTCTTTTCCCTTATCGTTAGGTTTTCTATTATCGTTTCCTTTCCCTCTTTTGGGATAAATAACGAACGGTGGCGACTCTTCTGTCCTTGTCGGCCCCTTTTCGCAGCGATGCGACAGCTGGCGACTCTGTTGTCCTTGCCGACCCCTCTTCGCAGCGATGCGACAGCTGGCGACTCTGCTGTCCTTGTCGACCCCTCTTCGCAGCGATGCGACAAAGACCAACTAGAGCAAGATTGCTACACGGCCCAAATGATAGTATATCACAACCCAACAAATCAAATTGAGATCAACCCCGAGATCGAATGCGTTGCAGCCGTCAACTTAAAACCTTGAGTAAAAGAAACTAAAGTAAATGGAACCTCTTGGAGTCAAAACTGGGGCATGGCCAAAAATCTCTTAATAGGTTTTGAAGATGTCAAAAAACAAAAACGGGCCCCAACAAAAATAGAAAATCTAGGACCAAAATGAATCAATCAGCTGGTCATGTCCTGAGGTATTCGTAAGAATGAGCACTATCTCCACCTGCATCTGCACAAACTGGTCAATCATAATAAAAACACACGCAAGATATTGCGACCTAATGATGTTATGCTATGTGATGCACAAAAGGAGATGAGATCTTAGGGTCGAAAATTAGAGCGTGACACTGAGAGAGGAAGATCTATCAAGTGATTTTGTAAGCAGTATATTATCTGGTGATGGAAGGTAACTGACATGGCTTCTAGCACTTGGTCAGATCCGGTGATCTGGATCTATACTTTTAGTCTTGTGGATAAAGTATTATCATTAAGACTCACGTTATAGTTTGGAAAGATGGTGAGGACAACACTTCCTGCATGAAGTGTAGTTAGAACAATTCATATCACAACATTTTCATAATGAAGGTAGCTGGAGTCCAGTAGAGCTATTTTGCAAAAGACAGGTTGGTTCTTCCTTCCATGAAGAGAAATGACGAGTCTGACAGTCGCAAAGTGTAAGGTTGTATATCCTTCAGTCTTCTAGTGGTTTATGAGATATTGGGGAATCTCCAAATCTACGTACTGCTCCTGGTTTGTAGCTCTTAGGCTACATTGGTCTAGTCTAGATGATTGGACGTATTCTTTCATATGAGTGCGGTTTGTAGATATAAGATTTCAAATGGATCTGGTAACACTTCTTTACCTTTTGAAAATGTTATACGGACTTAACAAAGGGGTATTATTTCAGAAATTTAACCATCTTCTGGAACATGAGAGTACTCAATAGAGTTTTTTATTTTATGAGAATTAGTCTTTTTACATAGTTGAGGAAGTGATAAAGAAGTAGTAGTAATAGGTTGATCGTTTGGTTCAGGTGTTTCCATGTTTAAGTGATTTTCTCCCTTACTCACTCTCTTTATTATATTTATACCATATGCACCTCTTCTTTCTGTACATGCTCTGATACCACACATAAAGGTTTAATTTTTACATGTACATATTTGTTATCTAATATGCCTTGATGAGATGATTATCTTTCTAAAAGAGAATTTTAAAGAAACCAAAAACAAATTAATTGTTAAGAATGAAAATTTAATAAGAATTTAAACTCTTTATGTTATTAATTATCTTTAATATTTTTGAGAAAAATCTTAAGCAACGCTCAAATTGACCTCAAAAATAATGAATTACATACGCATGAGTTACTGAACCATGATGAAACGCTCAAGATATTTGAATTGCTTACCACTTAATACACCGATTTGGTGTATGGAGTTCCATTTAATTTGTACAAATTAAAAAATATATGTATAAGAAAATCGTAAAAAAATGTGTAAGAAATTCAAATAATTACCTTTATATTAGATGGATGTAAATCATTATTATAAAAACATAGTGGAGTATAATTAATTTTAAAATAATGCATACAGTAATTACATTTAATTTGGATTTTTATCCATTATCAATGTGAATAATTTTCACTGTTAGATCACAAGAAACATTTGATTTTTTATTATACATAAATAATTATTTGTAATGAGCTAATAATTCAAAAAAAATTTACAATTACTGACCATACGAATTACACATAAAAATGAATGATGTTAAATTATTCTAAAGCTATGTAGGTAGTTAATTCAAAAAAATGAATGATGTAAAATGAATGATGTTAAATTATTCTAAAGCGATGTAGGTAGTTAATTCAAAAGTATATACATGGTTTTTCAAATACTTTTATTTATAATTTTAATATGGGGATAGTAGTAGTATTACCTTTCCAATTTGATGTAACAGTAGTATTTAATCAAGCATCTTTCAATTAAAAGATGATAGCTGAACATCAGAACATGAACAAACCCTAATCAATAATAATTTGAATCATGCTGCTATTGTAAAGATATATGAGAAAATAATTCTTCAAGCTGATTTTTCTTTATCACGATACCGTGTTTCTGGGTGAATACTGCATCTTTGACTGAACTGGTTTTAATATCTGCGATGGCATCTGAACCGGATATGTTAAAGTATTCATTCAGGTTGTGCTCGGCTCCATCTGCATAGATGAAGATACTGTTGTGAGAATAAAACTTCAATAACATCAAACATCATGGCTCATCCTGTTAATATAGCAATGTTCTCTCTCTCTAAATAAACATATAATCACACAATTTTACCTTTACATATGTATTGGAGCTTAAAAATAAACAACAGATTAACAGCGGTGTGAAGCTCTATACGAAGTTCCAAGTAAGGAAATGCAAGAAATATACAAGATGAAGAATCTGAGAATTTGAGGGATGACAAAGATGAGAGGAAGGAAAAGAAAATAGATAAGGAGTAACCCCCATTTTATACACACTCCCAACTGACCAAGAATATCAAAAGCCCCAACAGGGGAAGCCAATGAGGTCCTCAAACCCTTACAAATCCTAAGGCGTGAAGAGTAAGTGGCGTCAATTACTCAAGCTCCAAAATGTCAGAGGATTTTGTAAACTCTATCATCTAACGATCTCTAAGTACCGGTCATGTCTATGTGTCTGTTGAGGGACGCCTCATGACCATGAAGCCAATGACAAGGCCTAATTTGACCAAGTCAACTAAGGCCCAATCTGCATGGTATTTGGATCATACAAATTTGCATGGTATTGGAACACCCAATTTAGGAAGGAAAGTGAACCAGAGGATGGACGTGCCCTAAAGGCACACCTGATCAGGGCTTACCAAACCTTAGAGGTTGTCAGATGACAGAGTTTACATGATCCTCTGACATCTGTCCTATGAGACATGTTCTTAAAAAAGGTTCTACGTCCTTTAAACCCTAGACTACTACTATAAAGTCTAACGAATGATTCAAACTCAATTATACACTTCTAAACTTCTAAACCTTTATACTCACGGCTTCTACTGACTTGATCGTCTGAGTATTTGCAGGTACACCTCCTGCTGCCGGATTCAGTAGACAACGACCGTCGTCTAGAAGTCCATTGTGTCATCACCATCATAGCCACGTGAAGAAAAGATCCAACCAAATCATTTACTAAGTAATGTTGTATTGAAAAAGATCACTCATTTTGGAACAAATCTTATTTTACAAATGAGTTGAGTTATTTTGGGACAGTAACTTTCTCCATTCACACGTATCGTTCTATCACAACATATGACATAATGATTTGTTTATTAAAAAAAACAAGTTCATTGTTTCACAATAATAGTTTCAAAGTCATTACCTTGAGCAACTATGGGTTCATGTGTAGGAGGCTCTTCAATCCAGTGTCCATCAGAACCTTTCATGTGTCTTCTATCAGATGCAAAACAACTAAGGAAGATTGGAGCATGCACAATTCTGAATAATCTGTCATCAAAAGAATCATTTCATACATAACAATAATTGAATATTTACTTCTAATTGGTTATTTCATATTTGGAAAGACATTTTCTATAAACATTGGATTTGATTTCCTCAATAATATCTTATATGATGCCATGTTATTGGGCTTATTTGTTGCTGGTTGGTGCTTAATGACATTTTGTTAATGTCCTTAGTTACTCATCAAAGCATAACTCATTAAAGCTAATTGACTATTTATCTTTATGCCTCTTTTATACTCGGGACGAAAATTTTTCCATCCATTCATTTTCACAGCAATGAATGGTTTCCCATCCACAGTCTTCCCTACATTATCATGACCACATATATGACATACTTGAGAGCACCCAATATTGTCATTGGCTTTCTTTGAGTAATTAGAAAGGACATTTAAAACAATGTCTCTAAGCATCAATCAACAACAAATAAACCCGATAACATATATAACATTTGATTGTGGAAATCAAATCATCAAATTCAATGCTTATAGATATCTCCCCTATTTATCTTCCTAATTTGAAACTATGCGCATGATGTGTAAGGCACGTGCAAAAACTAATGGGAAGTAAGTAATCATTATCCCTTCAATTTCGGGATTGATATGAGCAAAGTTCTGTATAAGAAAGGTAACTAGGAGATTCTATAAACAATGGATTTGATGATATGATTTCATCAATCATATGTTTTATGATAAAGATGCAAAAGACTATGGCAAAATATGATTCAATAATTAAGGAATGTGTGACACGTGGTTTGAAATCAAGTGTTGAAATTTTATTGAATGTGAAGAACTTTTAAAGAGGCTTTCCCTATTAAAAATGTTGAAGGGTTGAATAGTTATGTGAAGGAGGATTTCTTATATAAAAACAAAGTAACATTGTAATAATATATATGAAAAATATTAACTTTGCTTGGAAGTTAATTGACCATTTTCTATTGAGTCTCATGAGATAATCTATCCTTTTGCTTCAAGGATATTTTCTCAATTAATAGGAAATTCTATTGCTATAGTCTATAGACCAACTCTAGTCACTAGGCAAAAACAAAGCGCAAAAATCTTAATCAACTCTAAGAATGAACTAGGGAGGAAGTCTTGTTGGTTATGTTTAGATCACACTAGAGTTCAGTGTTATTAATAGCAGATCGCGGATCTCCAGAAATCCAATGTAAAATATAGTATTTAATTGATTCTAGGAAGTCCTGCAATTATTGGAGATAGGGAAAAGGTGGAGGTGCTAATGATGGCGCCAATGACTTAAATTATGATTTGAAAAATCAAAACTAAAAGTTAAAGGAGGTCATTGAATTAGCTTCCTAAATGATAGTCTTCTCCTTCTATCCTTCCCTTTCAAAAGTCCTCTTTCTCCTTCAATTTCGAGCCTCTAAATGATATTTGTTATGTTTTCAATATCATATCTCTAGAGAGTTGTCGGCAACCTGATCTAAGATTGCAGTTGGCAAAGAAAGGCATGTCCATAATCTTCCAAACTCGCTTGATGTTATTCGATCTTGTTTTAATTTCAGATGATGGCTATTTTAGACTATTAACCAAAGAAAATATTTGAAAACAAAATGGTAGAAAACAAATATAGAGCATTACCTATCATAATCAGAAAAAAGTTGAAAGGAAGGGCGAATAGTTTCAGACACATATGAAGCTAGAGGTGAGGGAAAAGGAAGCTTTGAATCTAAGTCCCAAACTAGTGGTTTGTCACCTGCTTGATTAATCTGCCAATTACAAGAGTATGACGAAAATGATCCATATTGTAAGTATCACAAAAAAAACAAAAAGGTTTCAAAACCTAGTTAACAAAACTATCCATAAAGTGCCTCAACTCATTCAAATGAAATATGTTTTGGGCTGTTCGCAACGCCTATACCGGAAGGCCCAGGAGCAGCATCAAGCGAAAGAGTGTGTGGAGTAGGCGGTCCCTCATTCTACCAAGGACAGACGATTACACCCTCCAGACACGTCAATGGCCAACCGCACAACGCGCCTCATCTCACGCGGACGGACGGTTTTAACTGTTCACACTATATAAGGAGGAAAGCACGTCATTTCAAGTATTCAAATTCATTCTCACTCTCACGTTACTCTTTATTCTATCAATGACTTGTCCGTTGGAGTCCTAATCTTGTAGGTCAGCCCCCTCTCCAGTCTCCACCGCATCGGAAACACACATCCACCACGGCAAGACATTACCTCTTCATTTAACGGATCATTATGAACCGAAGAAAACACATATTTGACAATACCTGAATGCAAATGACATGGTAATCCCAGAGAACAGCCCCATCTGCTCTGTTGCTAGCTTTTTGATTCCAAAGTGGGATCTACAAAAATTAAGACAAATACTTAAAATGAGAACTCTTCAATCCAAATATATGGTTGCGGTTCAATAAAAAGATCAATTATATTTTGTGTGATAGAAATGACATGCCTGCTTCTTTTCATTGGAGATGAAAAGCACAAAAAGATCAGATCCTTCGGAATTTGATATTCCATCATTGCACAACTTCTTGCAAAGCAAGTAGACATTCTCCTCACTATAAATAAATAGAAAACGGGGAAAAACCATAAAAGTCCATATTGTATAACAATATACAAGAATTGAAAAGAAAACATAAATTGACTTAATAGGATGAAACACGCATAATGAGAAGATAAAAGCAATGGTTAGAAGCGAGGGAGAGAGTATTACCAATAAAAAGGAGTATGGTGGAAGTGAGAAACATCAATGGTGGTTGGCGTTGCCATGGATCCTTTTCTTCAACACTGTGCAGGCAGCAGCTACTTTTAGAGAAAAGATATTTTGACAACTTTTTTACACTTACACCTTAAGTTGTATACATTCTGACATTCTAATTTACTTTTTTAATAATTTATTTGAACTACGCGTACGGACATTAAGAATATTTTTTAATAATTAATGAAATTGATTAATTCAATATATAAGATTGATTAATAAAATTATGAAGTTGGTTAATCACACATTTTATATCAATGTTATTTAATTTAAAAATTAAAAATATTAAAATAATAATTTTTTTATTTTTTATTTTTTTAAAAAATATTATTATAATATTTCACTTTTCATCATATAGATGAACAGTAAAATACGGTATAGTTGTATGATTTTATTGTAGGAATAGCACTTTTGTAAATCAAATATTAGATCAAACAAATTAACAAAGACCTACATCTAATCTATTTAGGATAGATCAGATTTTTTTTAAAATAGAAAATGCGTAGGTTTTTATATAAATCTATTTAGTTAAAAATACTAGGTCACAAATCCTAAAAAAATCTTTTAAACATAATAGGTCGGTCTATTTAAATAAATATGAATAATTTTATTATTATTATATTTATTTTATATTTTGAATTAAAATACGAAAATAAAGTTTAATCATCTTGAAGAACTTATGAAAATAAGTTGAATAAAAAATCTTATGAACAATGCCATAAGTTGTTGTTACAAGTTGTTTTCCTAAATTCTCTCAAACAAATAGTATCACAAAACTTATGATAATAGGTAAACTCGAATGAGTCAATGAAAACAAACATTTAATCTCATTGATGTTTAAATTTGTTAGTTTATTTAACATTAGTTGAATTGCTTATTTACAAATGTTAAAATGAAGTAGACTTTTAAATATCCTAGTATGCTAATCAGACTTTTGGAAAGACTATACTTAAGCCTAAAAATAAGAGGGATTTTCTATGGCACCCTATGGTGTTGAAAAACACCCTATGAAAAGCCCCTCGGATTCTGGAGATGCATCTGCAGCCACACCATGCACCAACATTATGACACACTAAATGAGTGTCACCCTAGATTAATACTAAAAGTTATTCTGAAGATGTATCTCCGAGTATTTTCAACAAATATATACATAGTTGATCAGTCCAGTGGACATTCCAATGATGCATATCTGGAGGTTTGATGCGGAATTTTGAAATTTCTATCAACTTTGCATGTTTGATATTTCTGAAGATGCATCTCCGGAATAATTTGATAAAACACTGAACTACATTATCACACAATCGTACTTGCTTTCCACTCCAAACTCTTACTAAAAATCCTTCCATTCTCAATCCACATTTTCACTCTAAATATTCAATCTTGTGTTTCAATCAAAGGGAGTAAAAGAAGTTGGAATTCCAAGTAAAGATCATTTATATCAAGCCTCATTGCTCACATTAATCTTGTTTTCAGTCTGAAAAACGTGCATTTATTCAAGAGAAACATTTTCTGAGTGTATGAAGTTATTTGAAGATGCATCTCTGGTATCTGTTTGTGTTTATTTTTTCAGCTCTGTTTACAGAATTTGCACTTATTGAGTGTTCTTTTTGTAACTGTTTTTATTAGATATGGTGCACCCCAATATTTTTTCTCAAACATGTTGTATCTACAAATGCCAAAGGTATTATTGTGAATGTGGTAGATGTTGGCAACTAATTTAAAAATGAGCAAGAGTTTGATTTTCGTGATCACATGCTTCAATGAATTTGTACAGAGGCCTCTAAACTAGGATTTATTATGGCAATCGGAAGGTCTGATAATGGTTTGGATAGAAGATGTGCATTTGTGGCAATGACATGCGAAAAAAGTGGGAAATATAGACCTCTTATCCAGAATTTTAATCCAGATGACACTGGTGTCGCTACTGCGAAAATCGGCGCCGGCTATGACAGAAAAGTCGCCACCGTGCGTTATTTATCTCACAGGAGGGAAAGGAAACGCTCAGAGTAAACCTAACGCAAAGAGGGAAAGGAATGGTCGTCGCAACCAAATCCTGGATTCGGGAGTCGGTTACGCAAGGGGAAGGTATTAGCACCCCTCACGTCCGTCGTACTCGACGGGATCCACGCTTGTTTTTTATCTAAGAGTGTGTTATTCTATCTACTCTAAAGGTATGGTCTAAAAAGAAAAGAAAGTGACTTGGCAAAGTATCGCACTTTATGCCTACGTATTCCCGTCTGGAACGAGAAATCAGAGTTAACGTAGTTCGCCTAACTACGGGTTATGGGGGAAGGTTGCTCGCCGAGATATCGCATCTCGTGCCTACGTACTTTCATACGGCATGAAAGATCAGAGCAAACGTAGTTCGGGCTACGGAAGACACCAGCTTGTCTGACAGTTTTTTATCTCCTTCTGAAAAGGGTTTTCCTGATTAAAGGTCCAAGAGGACAAAAATAGAGTTTGAATGTTTGTTTGAGTTTTTTACGAAAGAACTGTTTTTTAGGATGTTTGCAATCTCAGTCGCACTAGAGACTATGACCCGGGAGTGAACGCTTCGTATGTCACCCAAAGGGTACCACACTAACATCCAGATTACTAGAGAGAGACCCTCCACCAACCTTTTCCCAGATAGCTTAATGCTCGTAACGCACGACTTCAATTAACCTTATTACTGTGTTTTTGAATTTGTTTTGAGAGGAGGAGAGAGACACCCTAAAAATATGGGTGAAAGGGAATCTACCTACAGTTATCATGCATGGGTCAAAACCTAATGTCTGTCATAATTCCCTCTTGCACAGAGGAAATCAGAGATCCTAGGGGAAACAGCAAAAGAAAGCAAGCAATAAACAGTAAACAGTAAGAATGCATGCTATGCAACAGTACCAGAGAGGCAAGGGAGAAAACAACAGGCAAGAGGAGACAAGTTCCACCTCAAACCTAGAGGTAATCAACACAAGCAAACAGACAATACAGAGAAAGACAAAAGATACAGAGGAGGCAACTCAAGCAGCAGCAACAAACTCCTACAGTAGACAACAACAGTAAGCTCTAAACATCACAGTTGAAAAAGACAGCAAAGTTGACAACAAGACTTCATCTTCAAGCTAGCTTCTATCTCAAGCTTCTCCAATTTCATCTTCAAGCTCTATCAAGCACACTCCAAGCAGAGGAACAATCACCAAGATCAAGGTTGAAATGTTGAAAACTTAATGAAAACCAAAGGAAATCATCAAGTACCAACATTAAAATGGAAAGGTATCCTCAAAGTTCTACTCAACTATGGGCATACCACACATCCCTCCAAAGTAGAGATGGAGTTTCCCTAGGAGGACTTCATGTCATTGGATGGAATAGAAGCACACAATGCATTCTATGTTTGATGAAGAAATCAAAACTAGCTCTAATGGCTCTTCCTAAAACCCTAATTTCCTAAGCTCCTAAGACAACCCCTAAAGGAAAAGGAAACTTAAACTCCAAGCTCCAATCCTCAAGCCATAGCATCTATACCAAGTCCAAAAGACCTCCCAAAAAGGATTCCAAGCCAAGCAAGCTCCAAAGTCACCAACCAAGCCAAACAAGCAAAGGCACTCAAGAGAGAACAATATAAACACAAGCAACTTGCAAAATTCAACAAAAATAGCAAACAAAATCATAAAATTCTAATTAAATTCCTAGGGAAACATACATGTTTGAACAACCTAGGGTTAAAATATTGAAGCCTAATTCAACTTCTATGTTATCTAAACAATCCCTAAAGTGAAATAGGTCAAGGGAATCCACAAGTTTGGGAAGGTTCTAATCTCAACACCTAAAACAGAACCTAAAGTTATTCTAAAAATCCACCAAAAATTCTAAGGGAACATACATGTCTACCCTAACACATACTAAAAAATCAAAGCCAAACTCATCACCAATTGGAAGCACAAAATTCAACAAAACAGATGGTCAAATATGCAAATATTAAAGAATTAACAAAAATGAGAAAAAACAAATTAAATTGAAAAATGCATGAAAATGCAATTTATTGATTTTAGAAAATCACAAATTCTCTTAAGATCATGGAGATATTTTTGGATTATTTTTTTGATCAAAAATGAATTTTATATGATTTTTAGAATGAAAGTGAATTAAGATAAAATCAAAATCAATTAAACTAAATAAAATGCAAGAAAAAACAAGGAACGTAGGATCAAGAGACCAAGTCCTCTCATCTGAGGCTCCAGAACGCGCCACATAAGCTGCCAACTCAGTTAAATGAAATGCAGCGTATTGTGCAGTCAAAGTCAGCAGAAAATCCAACACATCGTGGCCATCAGATTGATATACAAAGTCATACTTCCACTCAGATCCAATGACTCATCATCATCGTCTTCATTTAAACTCAGTTGAGAGGGAAAATCCTCAGGCGGTGGTCTGGCAGTCCAACCACCGCCTTCTCTGGCGAGCCAAGGTTGCAGGTCAAGGAAAACACTCAAACTTAACATCATTCTTTCCAGAATTTCACAAGGATTCCAAATATGGCCTTCATTTCCTCTAAATCAAGCTAGGTTTTAAAATTCGATCCAAAGTTCAAAGTGCACCTCAATTCTGATCCTCATTGTTGCACCCTAAAATTTGCTCAACCTTATTCACTTGGTTTATGTTTCAATTGCATTAGCATTTGCATATAGAGTCATGTACATAGCCTAACCATCTGCATAGCATAGCATAGAAAATCATCCAACAGGGACCAATCATTATTCTCATCTCTATGAGCCTATCAAGAGGCTATTATTCAAATTCAATCTCCTTCAAGTCATCAGAAAGAATTCGAAAGCTGGGAAGTCAATGGATCAAGCAGTGCATCCATCTCCTATCTGAGGGTATCTGAAGACCATCAAAGAAGTTGTGAGTTGTAGGATGAGCATGGAGAGTATATAGACATCATAGAGGACTTAGAAAGTCATTTGAAGAAGGAGACAAGTCATTGATATGATCACAAGAGTTGCAGTTGAAGACAGTCAACTAGGGT